AATAAGAATTATTAATAATTATTAATAAGAATAATAATAAGAATTATAATTGAAGAATTTATAAACTGAAGATTTAGAATATGGATACAAATTACAATGTTAAAAGTTCTAAGTTTTAAATTTATATTTTCAAACTTTAAAAAAAACATAAAGATTTTTTCATAATCGATTTAGTACTAAAACAGAAACAATTTAATTAAAATAGTATTGTGAAGAATTTATAGACCTTTTGGACTAATAAATATTTTCATTTTTTAACTAATCGCAATTTATTTTCACATTCTTAAAGTGAAAACGAATGCCTTTTCAACAAATTTGTTAAAGTTATTTTTAAACGTTAAACGAATAATGCGAGTAACAACATATATATATATATATATATATATATAATATGTTGTACCGGTACTTGTTATTATAATGTACAAAGAAAAATTACTTGTTACACCTGTTAAGAAGTTTTGAAAAAAATAATTAAGGTAAATCTATTTAAAAATGAAAATTAACAATTGCTAAATTAATAATTTTTGTTTTTCGTCAACACAGTTAGTTGCTAAATTATGTTTAAGCCAAATTAATCGTAATCAAAATTATAAGAATTGTCGCACACCTAGCAGATTGTTCATGTGTTGTGTTTTCCTATTCCATCAAGCCAATCTATAGAAAAAAAATATATACACGTACACTATTTAGATAATTGGCCATTTAAATCGCACTTTGAAGTTCAAAAATCTCCTTATAAACTAAAATTATATAACAAGTCTCAAGAGTAGATTCAAGACAAGAAATTAAACACGGTTTTATTTTAAAACCTTAAAAATAAATAAAGTGATATAAAAAAATATCAGATAAAGGAAATCTGGAAAAAGGACATTACCATAGCTCAGTTCACAGATAAAGGATTTGCAATGATTTTCTAATGGATTCCTCTGCGCGCGCCTAAAGTTACATTCACATTTATCCCTAGTCTTCTTTCAAGAAGTTAGTCAGATGGGCCTATGGTATGTTTTGTAATGGCCCACAGATACCAAAATATGCTCAACACTTTTATCATACCTTAACTGTAACAGTGATAATGCCTTAAATCAACTACTTGTATGATGGAGCGTCTTCATATATCGAACATATATATCACTATGATATTTCACAGATAAACAGATAAAAAATTCGGACTTAACGCATGGCCATTTCGTTTTCCGAATATTAATCAGTGTAATTTTTAGTTATAGGAACGCTTAAATAGTGTAATTTATCGAAGACATGTTGCAAATATGGCAGCCTTGAAAGACAATATCAAACTGCATGTGAGAAGTATCACAGATGAGCAATTACCGTTTGCCATTAAACACTGTTTAGTCAACTCTATCTCTACAAAAATCATTATATTTGTGATTACAATTTTATTAATAAAAAAAATTTATTTTACTGTATTTTACTTTTTTCTGCTTACTTATTGTTTTAACTAACTTTAACTTTTGTTTTTAAAATAATTAATTAGATAAATAAATATGTAATAAATGTTCTATGTGATATTCGTTTCTCTCATTTCGTATTAGTTCCTTTTACATCGGTGAATAACCTAATCAACACTTATTTTATTTCATCTTTTATTTAAAATCATTGGTTGATAGGTAAATTAAGTTAGGTATTTTGTAACACTTTAATGTTGTTTGGAAAAGCGTGGATTATGCCGGAACGACGAAATTTCGACCATAAGAAGTAAAAGCTTATCCCTATTGATTGGCATCAGAAAATTTTCTAGGGGATATAGCTTAGGGATAAAACTTGGAGACAAATAATTACATCTATAAATTTTTATTCACTTTTTGGATTTTTTTCATAAATAGATTATAAAATACAGTATTGCATCAATATAAAAAGACAGACAAAGCGTTCCATGATCGAGAATGCAAGTTTACATATCTCAATCACTTTTACGATTATAATTTGTGCAATTTCT